CTAAGACAGTATTCCTGGTTTAGAACACACATTTTTTTTTTTTATTTTATTTTATTTTCTGTTTTTACATGTTATTTTTTACTTATTTTTACTTTTTGTGTTCTATTTTATTTGTTGTAATTTTTATAAAATTTTTTTTTGAGTGCTCCTCTCACTATTGTATTAATTTGCTTTGGCTTTATTGATACAATATCAGAAAGCACTCTGTTTCACGGATATAATCGTGTGGGCTGATGAAAAGATTATATCTTTTTTTCCCCCGGTTTTTTAAATTAAATTTCATCCATTTTTTTCTTTTTTTTTAAACTGTTGTTTGTTATTTTTTTACTTATTATTTCCCCTTTTTTCATTGTCTTCAATTTTTCTTTGTTTTATTCTTCATATATAAAATTTATAAAACTAAATAGTACGTTATCCAATCGACAATTCGTAGCCTAAAGCAAGAACATGTGTTTTGATACAAAATAGGACAATAAGAATAAAATTAAAAAAAAGAAGTTGAATATATTGTCTCATAGTTTTATTTCTCTCGTACTTTTCAGTATTTCAGTCTATAGCAAGGCATTTGCCAAAACAATAATTTTGTCTGCTATTATGAGTTCTCATTACAAAGAAATCTTACTCTATAAAGGAAGAGTGCTTTTGAATTGGGTATAATGAAGAATTATGCTCTCAAAATATTTCAGATAGTTGGCGATGCTCTTCAAAAAACTAAAATGGGTCGAATTGTGTAATCTCTCAAAATACTACGCAAAAGTTCGGATTAGACATAAACGTGTTTTTTAAATTCCATAATAATCGTACTATATTTCCATAAAACATAATTAACAGCTGTGATAAAATGGAATGGAACAAGTGCACAGCAATGCTATCCATGATCGATATGTTTAAATAGAGGATGGTGAATATGAAAGCGAATGTAAGTTTTATGTTACAAGTATTAAACATCACGTTAAAAATGGCGTACAATATTTGTACAACAGTAGCACTTCTGAAAGAAACTTTTTTTTAAATTTTAAATTTTCATGAATTGAACCCACATCGATGTTATCCATGTTATAACCATATTTAGTAATAAGGCATTTGAGTAACTGTTAAGTTAAAAATATGAAAAACTGTATAAAAATTGTCCATTTTCAGGAAAGCCAATATTGTCTCCTGAAGAATGTGACTAAATATAAATAGGAGTCTAGCAAAGAGTAATTAAAGTGATATAGTGCTTCATTTCTGTGACGTTAAATACAATATTCATTCATCATGGATTAACAGTTATAACATTTATTGGGAGTATTTTATGAAAGAACTTATAATTTTTTTTTGCGTAGTAATAGCGATGTGTTATAAGTTACCATTTAATTTTATTGCATTGGCCACTGGTTTTATTTTACATATGCAACTATGAACAATAAACAAACGATAAAGATAATTCATAATTTAAATATTTCACGTTGAATATAACTTCTGATATTCTTATTTAATTACATATTTTTCAAACTACACAGTATACACGACAAATACAAAAATGAGCACGGAGAAAAAAAAATGCATGGTCAAAACTACCAGAATATGGTTAAATTTACCATGTTTCTTGTTGTATGGAAACACCAAAAACCTCGGTAATTTTCACGGAAGTTGTTTGGTAATGATTTTGGTTAAATTAGCCATAAAATATAGTACTATAATGCGTGATAAAATTTGGAAATTTTATTATGATACCTTAGAAAATGGCAACGAAAACCTTTATTCGGAAAAAATAACTTTTCAGTTTTATACTTTTTACCAAATGTTTAATAATAAGAACTATAAATCTGAAAGCCAGAATTTATGTTAAACCATTACCATATGAACGGAAAAACTACCAAATAATTTATAAATACCATATAATTTAGTTTTATTACCAGATTTATGTTTTTTGGTTGTTGCCAGAAACATTATTATTATGCAGTATGGTAATTTTACCAGAATTAGTTTTTCGCCGAGAAAATATAACTGAATTTTTAAGAAAACAAATGTATTTAGATCTATATACATAGTACTTAAAATATAGCAGGCCTTTCGAGTATTATTATTAAAGCTTTTATTTATATTTATTATATCTATCTTCAATAGTTTACTTTGTAATCCTTTCGAACTCTTGGTATGCTAACTTTTTAAAATTATACTATAATTTAAAGAAACAATACAGTAAAAATAAAGTTGAAAAATTATTATGTGCCATTTAGCAAATAAGAGTCCGGGAGCTTTTTAATGTGATTTCTCTGTCTACTGCACCCCCTATCAATCGATCAATATGATCGAAACCAGATTGTTGTGTGGGAAAGCCTGCAGTTTAAACAATGGAGTAAAACCAAGGTCTGATTTATCGAAAGATTTTATTCCAAAGAACTAAAAGTGAACTTATTTTATGGATTTAAAAAAAATGTTTTAGGTATTACGATTGGTTCCAGAAAGGTTTAGCAGACAAGGGTTTGACAAAAATTTTGGATAGTTGACAAAAATTGAAATTAGTTTTTTACAACTTTTTTGAACGATTTTTGTATACGTGAACTTTGAAAAGTTTTGGCAATGAAATCTACGAATAAAATATATTAGAAATTTTATATCGTTTTGAGTTGTAAAACGATACTGTTTCTGCAAAAGCCTTTTCAATGTTCTGCCAATGTCGATTTAAAAATTTATTTGTTTAATATCATTATTTGATAATACAATTTGTACTTCATGAAATATTTTCCTTGTTTCAACAATTTGCAAAAGAATAACAACAACAGAAAATTGAGACGTGAATTAAGTGCTTTTAAAATGTTTCTGATTCCACGATGTTTAACTATCGTTACTTACCGGTTAATATGTGAGAATAATAATTGTAACTAAATTATTGTCTATTTTTTAATAAAAATTTTAAAGAAAAAAAGTTTAGAATCATACTATTAAAAGTCAACTTATGTGCTATATAATATGTAAGTATTTTATTTCAAAATCTGCTCGATCCAATTAGAATTGCAAAACTTAGTTTGTTTTTAATGTTTTCAGTTATTGCTTCAAAATTTTGTTGCATACTTCTGTTCATTCAAAACTAAACTAAGGAAGGAAAAAAATAGTTTCTTCCAGTTTTTTTTAAGCATTTACGAAAAACAATCACTCCGTTACACAATTTTTAAAGTAATGTGAAAAAATTTAAATATTATAAAAACTGATTAAAAATTACATTAAATAAAGTTTCTTAGATACTTATTACTTTTTCGAAATACACTCAACCCCGCAATTTCAGTTACTGAAACCAAGGAATAAAAAATATTAAAATCAGGCCCATTTAAAATACGCTTCATTAATCTGATTTAAAATTAAAGCGATTTTAATAATATAGATTATCATAAAAATATGAGATTTAATTTTCTCCGTTTCAATAAACAGTAGAAAATAAAGTTCCCGAGCAACAAGTATTTTTTCCAAATTGTCTCTCCTAAGAAATTTTGGAAAATAGTTCAAATTGTTTTTAAAATCAAATGTATGATACCAGCATTTCCTAAAAATGTGATTATTTCTGCTTAAAAAAGTATGATGCATTTTTCATTGTAAAAACATAAAAAAAAGATGTAAAAATAGTATTATTTTTTAGACGTTACTACTTTTTAAAATATTCTCTAATAAATAGGGGTTGAAACCTAAAACTAGTTTTCTAAATGTTAATTAAAATTTCTTTCCTAATGATTTGCATTTGTTACAGTTTAATTCAAAGTTTTCGTCATTAATAATAAATTAAACTAGTTTATTAAAATAATTAGCAGTCATAATTCACAAAAAGAATGAAAAACGTCAATTTTACATGGTGTTAGATCTGAAAAAGGGTTAATGGCATAATTAATGGTACTTACTATTTTATGAATGAATTCCGGATGACCATGGAATATATGGGAAAAGACGATTAAAAGAGGTCTTCCAGTGGACCTCGTGGAGAGGTGTCACGAAATAGGTTTTTTCCCGGCAAATAGCCAAGCAAGAAGAAGACGGAGGGAAAAATTGAGGGAATGTGCTATGATAGTTGATACCTTCTGAGATGGGATAGGGGTTACCGCGTGCTGCGAGGGTGGTTCTTATTGGACGACAAGTCGGGATTGCCACCATCCGAAAAAGGAGGGAATCTGGGACAGTCTCTCGCAAGAAAGACAACTTTACAACAGCCCTTGATGACGATGTTCAGTGAAAAATTTCTGCATCGCAATGTCCCCTGGTAGATGGAAAAAAAAAAAAAGAATTTACATGCTGTATCGTTTCAGACGATTTTGAAGACGTTGCCATCCATCTAGAAGTAGTCACAATGACACAGGAAGGAATTTATGACACTTGTACTTTTCTCTTCCGAAAAGTTCTTGTTCCTGGCAAGTATATATATGTATGATCTTTTAGCGGGATTTAAGTTTTTTTTTTCCCGCTGAGAGTTTTTATGGTGTGATATAAAACACTCAAAGTAACTAGTTGAGGCAAGGTTTTATTACGGTATAATTTAAGTAGCTAGACAGACGTCTGTGGATTCGAGCAAATAATTCTTAATGTAGACATGTTTCATATGGTTACTAAAATATTCTAATTGTTTACTGATTTCGTAAGAAGATATTTATCGGGATATTAGATATTTAAAAGAAACAATCTTTACATCTCAATGATAAAATGAGATTCCCATCCATATTTGTCCCATTCAGAACTCGAAGACGTCATTTAAAAAAGATAATACAAATAAGAAAATACAGATAAGATGCATACAAAACAAATAAATAAATATATAAAATTAAAAAAAAATGTTACGTTTTCAAACTATTAAAACGCTTTTAATAGTGTTTTGACATCAAATTTCGAATAAAAATTAGTCTTCTAAGACGATGACAATTTGCCCATGCACACCAAATAAATAATAATTGGACAAAAACGGTGAATTTTTCTTCTTAACCATGAAGCCCTTTTCTTAATTTTGTTTTATGCTATTTTTTGCATTTTCAAAAATAATTTTTAAAATCTACTAAAGCTATTTGTTAAATCCATGTAAAAAAGTCCATAATAAAAAGTAAAATTTGAATTCTAAGAAATTAACTAGATTCGGAAATTTTTATTCCTCACATAAACTTGCGATATTACGGCACTTAAAAGTTTTTCTTTCTTTCTTTTTTTCCATCTTTTTTTTTTTTTAATTCTTTTTTTTTTTTAAAAAAAAAGAAAGAAATCCAACTTAACAAACCAGGTTAAGTTGAAAAATAACCAAAAAAGAAATAATATTTCTGCTGGTTTAAATATTGTTTTTCCGAAGAAAAGATGATGCTCCAAAATATATTTAGTAATCTTATTTTAAATTTAAAAGAAACTCAAAATAAATATATTTTTCTTTCAAAAATAATATGCAACATTAATATCCTTAAAAAATATTTAAAAAAAGCGATTGAGTCTGCTTTAATTTCTATTTGAAATATTTTATTGAATTAAAGATGCGTGTCTCTCCAGTTGAGTTTAGTTTTCAAGCATATGAACAAATTAGCAATATTTTTTATATCACACACAACTTAAAAAAATACAAAAAAACCCGCTCTATTAGTTTACAGTAGAAATAAAAGATGGGAAATAAAATATATATGTGTTAATAAAAGATAATTAAATAAAAATTCAATAAAACTCAGTTCACAACTCAGTTTCATAATATAAAATAAATATGATAGCAGGGCTCAAAAAAACTCAGAAATTTCACCCGTCCCCGAGGACGGCTTGTCCAACAATGTACCCGTCCTCCTTTGAAACTAAGCCGTCGCTTCTAAATAAATAAAAATAGAATTTTCTCTTATTTATTTCAACCATTTATGTAAATTGCACAATGAATTGGTAGTTACTGCGATTACAAACAGTAGGATTACATTATACAGTAATAAAGGAATTTCTAGGTTACTATTAGTAACCTAGTATTTCTTTTATGATATAATTCATTTCTTTTATGAAATAATTATAATGACGAAGGTCAAGTTATCTGGAATGTCAATTTATCCGAGGGTACTGCGTTTTTTATATGAATCAAATATGACGTTTGCCAGTTCAACAATCAAGTCAATGATATACAGAGGTTTCTGCACAGAAATCTGAAAGGGGTTTTCTATTTAGGTAGATGTTCATAATTGCGTTTTACGTTTCTTGTTTAAGATCAGTACGTAATGTGTTTTTTTGTAAGTTCATTGTTGAAAAGCCCCTTTTAACCACTGCAGTACTACCAGACGGAGAACAATTCTAATGACAAAAATTGAAAATGTATCACGAACATCAACGGGAAAATGGCCGTCAGCGCGGACGTCGGATTCGAGAAATTCGTTGTCCGCGGGGAATTTTTGGCAGCCGCGGACGGGCGGTTTTTCGATCCCTGTATGATGGTATTATTTTAGTGTTAAGAAATGGTTGATGATAAAAAATTCTTTTTATGAGATTTTTAAATTATATAATAATTTAACATAGAGTTGTTCTCCTCAAAAAAGAACTTATAAATTATTAGTTGCTGTTATTTAACTTGAAACTTGCAGTATTTTTTTAAAAATTTCATTGAACAATGATAATTACTTTTAATTTTTTCGTTTAAAAACCAGCAAGGAAGTGAAGAAAAGTTTTGAAAATGATAACTAGGTTTTACGACAAATTCTTTATCCTATCTAAGCAGACATAAAATTAATATTATTCCAAATAAATGCAAATATGAATGCTTATCTCTTTAAATTTGAAATGAGGTAGGGCTGATACAATAAAGCAGACTGCTTGATTTTTGTAATCGAGTAAATAGATATTCAACTGTTATGAGTTAATCTGCTCTGAGAAATATGAAAGTTCGCTGGAAAATGTTTTGAAAGTGATTCATTATGAGAAGAAAGAAAAAGAAAAAAAAAAGAAAAAGGAGAAAAAAGGAAGCCTTCCACTCTGACACATCACAAATTTACAAAGTGTCAGCAGAGTTGATGTCAACAATGTTATGTCAGGAACGCATTGTCAGTAACACTGTCTACAATGTATTAAATAATCCATTGTTGAAGGTATGCCAAATCTTTTGTTATCTAACTCTCAACAACGCAATAAAAAAAATAAAAGATTTAAAGGCTCTTAAATGAACATTTTTGAGTCTTATTACCTTAAAAATTAATAAACCAAATTGAAGCACTAAATTTACATGAATGTTTTTCATTTAATTACAACAATCACAGATATTTTTATGGTAATATGAATTTTTTTTTATTTTATTCTTTTAGTCGTAATTATTTTAAGCTGTTTGCAATAAATGTTTGCAAAAATTTTAATGCCAAAATACTCAACGACTTAATTAACAAATGTATTATTCATGACTCAATTAAATTGAATTACTATTCTTTTGCGCCTGCATCATACAAGACCCATTGTCATTGCAATTGGCATAAGAGAATTTAGGATAATCGAATTCTTCATAAATTTTTAATTATCCTAAAAGTATATATGCAAATTCTTATAAGTTTCAAAATTAATACACTGAATAGAAAATAATGGAGACTTTTCCAATTTTACTGGTGCACTGCATAATGACGGTGACATTTACAAAAGCCAATGACAAACTATTTGAGTGTGATTTTATAAACAATTACGAACGTTTGAATAATATGAATAACTATAGCTAGTTTTATCTTTGACGAAAATAAACTTTATGTTAAAATTTTATTTTTCTTATTATCCCGTTCTCTAATTTAACTGAGTCATACTTTTATTATTATATTACCACTTTATTCATAAAATTAATTATAATTTTAACATTTAAAATCTTATCTATTATCTTTCGATTAAATTATCCATAGAAATAATTTAAATATTTGAATGAAATCAAGTGTCAAACTTTCAGTCACATTTCCTTCACCCAGTGTGAAATACTTAGCAAAGTAATAGATTTAAAATTAATATTTAAAATTAAAATTAACTTTCAAAATCTTATCTGTTATCTATCGTTACACTGGCAACTATCCGAAGTAACAATTTAATTATTTGAATGAAATTAAGTGTCAAACTCCCAGTCATATTTCATTTGCCCAGTTTGAAATACATAGCGAAGTAATAAATCATTTTCAAATGCTGCCCTAAAATTAATTCAAGGACACTTTCATTCGCAGTCTTGGACTGGCTCCATCTGTTTTAGAAAATAAAAAAAATAAAGTTGTTTATGCTAACATACATTCGAATAAAGAAATTTTTGGCAAAAATCGGTTCTAATGTTTAAATTTAGCATCATAAAAATAAGCAACATTGTCCAACATTTTTATCCGTAGCTAAACTTGTCCTTTGGAGCCACCATCTTGACGTGTATGACACAGTATTTTATAAAACTTGTCTAGAACGTTGACCTTCATTAGTCACTGAGAGCCAGTGAATAATTATAAACAAATATGAATAATGAATCTGGGAGTAAGATCTCATATTTTAACTATACTCTTTTTTTTTCTCCAAAATTTACAAAGTCAGTGTTAGATGCTTATGTAACCCTGACGTGCGTTATTATTCTGCGAAATAAATGTCATTAAGATAGAATGATAGCAAAATGACATTGGTCAGATATATGTAGATAGACACTTAATCCAAAAACACTATTCTATGTAGTATTTTTTCAATTACTGCTATATTTTAAGAAAACTATTAATACAAAAATTATTCCATGATTTCTTTCAAGAAATTTGAACCTTTCACTGGTGGAAATTTTGGATCAAATTAAATCAAATTATCTTCTTGATTTTTTGCAACTACTTGTATGGTAATGGCATTTCTGGTAAAATAAAATCACAATTATGAGAATAAAAACAAAATGTACCGTATTTATTCCAGTTATTTGGTAATTTTTCCATTCGTATGGTTACAGTTTATCGGTTATTTTATTATAGATCTTATTATAAATTCCTAATTAAAAATTATAGTTCTTATTACTCCAAAATTATAGTTCTTATTACTCCAAGTTCGGTAAAAATGTAAAACTGAAAAATAAATTTAACCAAATAAGTTTTTTTATCTGTAAGGTATCACATTAAAATTACCAAATTTCATGACATTTACTCCCAAATAGTAGTATGGAAATCAAACCTTATTTTACTGCTTATTTTAACAAAATTATAGTTCTTATTACTCCAAATTCGGTAAAAATGCAAAACTGAAA